AGCTGGGGAGCTGTGGGGGCCAAGGGCTGCTGGCAGGGGGAGCTGCGGCAGTGATGCTGAGCTCTGAGTCCCTGCCGTGATGTGACTTGGGCTGGCTTGCTTTATGTCTGCTGTCATCGAACAGGAGATTTCCTTCTTTCTTTCAGTCGGCAGAATTCTTCGAAATGCTGGAAAAGATGCAGGTGAGCAGCAGCATGCATGCCGGTACCATGGGCTGTCCCCAGCAGAACCCGCACGGGTCCCTGTGTTACGTGCTGGAAGGCTCGTCCTGGGCACAGACCCCACGTCCAGCCGCTCGGGCCGGAGCTGTACCTGTGCAGCAAATACCCTCGTGGTTTCACCTGTGCTTGTGAAAACATCTCAGTTATTCAGTCTATTTATTTTGTCCCAACAGGCACCAAAACTGGAAGAACAGAGGTCTGGAAGCCAAAAACACAAGGTTGGTTGAATTCTGTTGCTTTTGGGAATCCCTTCAAGTGTTCCCCCTCAGCTCAGAGGTTTAATGTGATGTCAAAGACAGTCACTCAAAGGGCTGGGAAGGATTTAGATGTTATCTAAAAGCAAGGCACTGATTGAATTGCAAAGATGGGAGCATGGTGCCTGTAAATCCCTAATCCAGCTTTATGTCCAGACTGGTGCTTTTCAGTGTCCAGCTATGTGAAAGGGTTGGGGTTTGCCACAGTGTGGGGAGTCGCACCGATAACAGAATCTGCTTTGGGCAGGACTTATCCTGTGTCAGTGGCTTCCTGCAGACCCCGAGCAGGGAGGGCTCCCCGGGCAGCGCGGTGGCGCCACTCTGGGGCACCACCATGGCCTCATCTGACAGAGCGTCGCTCTGTGACCGCCTGGTGCAGGGCACGGGACGGGAGGGACCGGGGAGTGGGCACTGGAGGTGCTCCCTGGTTTGGGTGTGCAGGGATGAACCATCTGGTCATAGGTGGTGTTTTGGTTCCTTTTTGCAGGAAGACTATATCCCATACCCCAGCATCGATGAGGTGAGTGCCCTGAACCCCCACAAATGCCTTACAGTGAATGCCTTTCCAAAATTGCCCATGGCAGGGGAACTGGGGGAAAACCTGTTTCTGAGAGGACCTGCACAAAGCATGTTCCCCCTCCCCACTTTTGTGGCTGCTGTTTTTCCTCGGTACCATGTGCTCCCCCAGTGCCAGGGCTGGGGGCTGCTGCAGAAGGGGGCAGGACATGGGGCAGTGAGCCCTGCACCCCACACCCACACCCCCATCCTGCCTGACCTCACAGCACGTGTCTCTGCAGATCCTGGAGAAGGGCAGCCCATACCCGCTGATCATCCTGCCCCAGTTCGGGGGGTACTGGATTGAAGACCCAGAAAACCTTGGCACGCCCACGTCGTCCGACAGCAGCATCTGTGAGGAGGAGGAGGAGAACCTCAGCCCCAGCACCTTTGGCTACAAGCTGGAGTGCAAGGGAGAGGCCAGAGCCTACCGCAAGCATTTCCTGGGGAAGGTGGGTGCCCCTGCCCCATTGGGTTGAAAACTGCACACCCTTGCCCAAGAAAATGTCTTAAATTGTGAGAAAAATGGGGAAATTTTGCAACTTCCCTCTTCGCAAGGAGTGGAGGGTCTGTGGGTTCCCAGCATGGCAGTGATGGCCACACTCGTGGCCTTGGCCACTGGGCCCACAGCCACAGGGGGGCACCAGCCCTGAGCCTCCCTGCATGGCAGCCCCTGCCCTCCTGCTCACAGCCCTGTAATCCTCTTTGGCCCTCTGAGCACACAGAGAACAGGGTGCTAAAGTCCATGGGAGAGGGATTACAGCCCTGGTCCCAGTGAGGGGGTACAAGTGTGTCCCCTCAGGGGTGGGAGCGTGTCGGGTGGCAGCTGACTGTCAGCACAGTGTCCTCGCCATCAGCAAGCTACCTCCCCACCACTAACACACTGCTCTCTATTTTTAGGATCATTTAAATTTCTACTGTACAGCCAGCAGTCTCGGAAATCTGATCCTTTCTGTTAAATGTGAGGAGACAGATGGCACAGAATATTTAAGGGTTATACTCAGGTATGGAAAAAAAAGCTTTGTTTAACAAAATATTCCCTCTTTGAGAGTCTTCAGTGCTGTTTCTACAGCAAATCCTCGAGCCAGACTGGCAGCACGTGTAGGGGCTCAGGGTGGGATGGGAGGCAGTGGCAGTATCCTTGTGTTTCTGTGCTGGGACTGCCCAAACCCGATAATGGATGTGGGACTTTGATCTGTTGCTAAACCCACTGGAGCTGAGTGTAAACCTCTGTGGGTTTAATCCTCCCTGGGATAACACCAGTCACATCTCTCTCCATCCCTCTCTAAGCTGACAGGACTCAGCATGTCTGAACCATTGTGTCATTTCCCTCCAAACTGTGAATATTTTAAGAGCTGCAGAGACCAGAAGACAGGTTGAGCCTTTTCTCACTAACCAGGCCCAACAAATGCAGTACAGCAGCATTTCCCAACAGCCAGCATCACTTTGCTGTGGATGCTCCCTGATGTCTGCTTGTTGTTGTTTCTTTGCTAGGTCCAAAGTGAAGACGTTGCATGAAAGGATCCCATTGGCAGGACTCAGCAAACTCCCAAGTATCCCCCAGATTGCAAAGGTAAAGTGCCCAGCCGGGCTGAGACTCCTGTAGCAAAACTGGTGCCACTGCATCACAGGCAGCGTTGGGATGTGTTGGATGGTGCTGGGCAGTGGGCTGAGACTCCTGTAGCAAAACTAGTGCCACTGCATCACAGGCAGCATTGGGATGTGTTGGATGGTGCTGGGCAGCGTTGGGATGTATTGGATGGTGTTGGGTAGTGTTGGGATGTGTTGGATGGTGTTAGGTAGCACTGGGCAGCAGTGCCTGGGCTTTCAGGTCAAGGGGTGTTTGGGTGGTCCTATGTGCTGGCCGTGCTGCTGGTTTCCCAGGTGGGTCTCTGGTTGATACCTGGGGGAAGAGGTGTGAAGGTGGCACCACCTTTGTCCTGTGGAGAGACCTGGGACTTGTCTTGCTGCATCCAGAGTCAGGTGCCAACCAGGCCACGGAACATCCCAGCGAGAGGATGTGAAGCAGGGAACTCCTGCAGTCAGAGACTGGATTTGGCTCCTTTATAAGATGTTCGTGGCCTTGCTGTGAAGTTTTGGCTGGGACCCAGCACTGACTGCTCTTTCCCCTTGCCCACAGGCCTTCTGTGACGATGCCTCCGGGCTGAAGTTTAACCCAGTTCTTTACCCCAAGGTGAGGTAACCTGCCCAAGTCAGTCGTGTCTGCAGGGACACTGAGAACCACACCCAGGGCCACTGTTGAAAACTTTTGGCCTAATTATGTGGGAATTTGGCTTCTTTTCCCCTTCTGCTCTCTCAGTGCTGCCCGGCTTTGCTGTACCTGGCCTGCAGCTCTGACAGGCTCTCCTCACCACCCACCATGAGGAGCAGTTCCATAGCCCATGGGTTTGGTCTTTTGGCCATCGTGTTTTGAGCTACCAGATGAAACAATCAGTGTTTTGCTTTCCTGCAGGCATCCCAGATGATAGTGTCTTATGATGAACATGAAGTCAACAATACATTCAAGTTTGGTGTGATCTATCAGAAGTTCAGGCAGGTAAGTCCCTGTGCACCAGAGATCTGTGTCTCACGAGTGCAGACTCTACCCTGGTGTTCATTCTGCCATGTGCAGCACCTCGTGTTGCTGGGTGTCCTCACTGACTGTTTCTCATTGCTCAGATGTTTTCCCGACTCATTAAAAAATGATGTGACTGAAAAATCTCAGTATGGAAATCAGCCCACAAG